GTCGCCAAAGGAGTCGCCGGCGTGCTCGCCCCAAGCGAAGTAAGAGCGGAGCAACCCGAAAACGCGCGAGACATATTGGTTACTTCACTGGTATCAAGTCCTGAAAGATCAACGTGTTCTACCTTAGGAAAGTCCGAAAACATGTTTGAACAATCTGATGGCGGCTTTACTGATCCTTCAACCACAATTTTTGTCGTCGCTAGGCGATATTCCTTGAACTGCGAAAGCTTCCACGGAGGTACATGCAAAGCTTCCTCATCAACCTTGCCGACCCAATCAGCAAGCACCCCCTGAATTCCTTCTTTCAAAGGACGAATTCTAAGCGTGTATGTGACATTGGCAGTATCACCACTAGTGCCAGCAGCACCTTCCGCAGCAGAACCACCGAGAGCATCTGCATTGTTAGGCACATACTCCCACACACAGGTGTCAGAAGTCCCTTCGGTAGCACTTTGTCTGATATACCACTGCGCTTGGGTAGAGTCCCTATGGAAAGACATGAGAGCGTCTGCTGAGCCAGCCTCTTTTCCATCACTGGTAACCACCGTCCAATTAGAAGGATTGTTGGGGTCGCTCTCGTCGCCCTTCTCTGCCCGCATCCACTGACCGCCCATTATTCGAGACCCCGCCTCACCGAAGGAGGTGCTGTGAGTGGGAGTCCCCGCGGCCTCTGCGGCCCCTGCAGTCCCTGTGGTCCCTGCCGTCTCTGCGGCCTCGGCATCATCATCGCTGAAAAGGGTAAACGTGGAAGGGGGACCCAAGCGAATACTCCACAGCGATGAGGTCCCTGCGAACATAGCATTCTTTGCGGTCACTAACTTAGTGTCCCACCCGCTCAGATCAAGTGAGGTAAGGGAGGAGCAGCCAGCAAACATCGATTGCATGGATTCTACCTTTTTTGTATCCCACTTGCCCAGGTTACCAACAGTTGTAAGCGTTTCACAACCCTGAAACATAGATGCCATGCTTGTTACTGAGGATACATTCCATGCTTCTAGGTTGAGTGACACTAGCTGTTTACAACCGGAAAACATCCGCTCTAAAGAGACGGCACTCGCAACGTCAAGCCCCGAAAGGTCTGCCTCTTTTAAACGCGAAAAACCACTGAACATACCTGCACATGTTTTTGCCCGTACTGGCTCGTACAACTCGCTACCCTCGCCCGTGGCCACAATTTCTATCTTGGTGGTATTTGAATAGTGGTTTTCACATTCTAGGCGTTTCCAGGGAGGTGTTGGGTCTTCGTTCTGGCCTCCCCAGCTTCCGAGCTCTCCCCACGCCTTGCCACCTGAAGGGTAGATGCGAAGCGTATAAGTGCTCTCGTCTTCTGAAGTCACATCGGTGTTTGATGCACTTGAACTACCTTTGGGTGCCTTATCAGACTTGTCAGAATTGGACACATACTCCCACACACAGTCGCCAAAAGTTCCCTTTGTGACATCTTTCCTCACGTACCGCGAGGTTTGAACACGCAAGGTTTGATCATCTCTTTTGGCATTGTGATGTTCTATAAGAGCATCGGCATCAAAAGTTAAAGATTCGGTGTTGTCTGATTTCTTCTCAGTCCAATGGCTGCCAGCCTCACTACCTACATCTTTAAAAGATGCATCCTCCTTGATGGTAAAGTTGTTTGGAAGAGCTATTTCTTTTAATGCAAAAGTTTCTTTGAACAT